ATACGGAAGGGGTTAGATAGCCTTCCGATCGTTGCCGGACCCAACGTATACTGCGCAGCACTATAATAAATAAATAACTAATACTTTTATTCTCGACTAGGCGAGGCACATCTTTACAGGTATGAGCATGTTGACAAAACAATGCGGGATCAAGAATGTGCAAAAATCCGATATGTTTGCAATAACAGTGCTAGTTTGTGCAAGCGGAATGTAAGTTTGTAATTGTGTGTGGGTATATGTAGCTTCGTAATTTGCGCTTGTAACTGTGCCGCTCCATTCTTTAATGTTTGCTCTCGTCCGCAATGTGAGAGTAGAAGATTTGTGTCTTTGGTTTGGAAAGGATTATCCAGATATCCAATGGGCAGCGACTTTATTTTGTGGCGCGCCACGACCGCCACGTCGCAGTGTTGTTAAGCAGATATTTGTGGCTATTTATGGAGAGAACGCTTGACAGGCGAAACCCCACCACGTCCTGGAACACTGCCGACGAACGATTAGCTGGAACGGGTTAAATCCGAACCACCCAGCTGGCACCACGAGGAGGCGAGTTAGCAAGAGCGCAAGTCAATATAGCGCATGGCTCATGGTGATTCGGCTTATGTACGAGATGCCTCATCAGTAAAACAAAGTGCTAAGCAGGAGCAAGAAACCTGAGGGAAATCCAATGTCACGATGTGATAAAAGAGCACATTTACCTTTCCCTACAACAGCACATAAGACATCCGCCTATATAATTGAGTTGGAAGGTCAATGGTACCATGTATTACCTCAAGCCGTGTCTCCACAGCGTATATTTAAGGAAGTGCTGTTGCTGAAATAACTGGTGCCAGAGAATAATTTTTCAATTAACGACCATTCTTTCTGTGAATACATCAGGATAGGGGCAACGCACAAAAAACGGCCAGAGATCCAGCTGATCGTAAATAACTTGGAGACGTACTAAAACGTAGGTAGTACATGCAACATCGCGGTAATTAATGCTCTGCTGAATACTGTGTAAAACTTGCCATTATATGTGCTAGATAATCTGGCCCCTGGGATGGGGCTGAAAAGAAATTTAATGATTATGGGCGCTGAAGAAGCGGAAAAGCAGTGAGAAGACTAGATTGGTGATCGGCCAAGCCTGACGTGATTAACGTTTCTTTATCGTATCCACTTATCGTCTCCACTTATCATATTTAGGTGAACACGTATTGTGGTAACGCTTTTAGGTTGCGGAGTTCTTGGATTAATACCCGTCATTCTTGGATGCCGAAAGGGATTGAAATCGTGTATTCCCATGCTTGTGTTTTGGAGCTCAGAGGTGTTGTACATGAGGTCGCCTAGAGTCAACAGGCAATTTAAAAGGAAGGTTGATCGATAATGAAGTGTATGTGGTGTTTGAAAGCAAAGTCGATACAGCTGATGATACTATCACCTAACCGGAAGGTTGTGTAGCAAAATGTGATAGGTACACTATATACCTCCCCACCAGTGCGCTAGTCGCACGACGTTCAAGCAGCTAAAAGTAAAATCCCAGTGGGAATAGCTGGTAAAAGCTGACCCCTACCTGGTATAGTGCCGCATAAAATACCTGAGGCTGAGGTACGGGGGGCATGCAAGCTAATAATCTGTGTGTGAGGTGCAAGGGAAGATTTTGGGAACAGCGCAGAATGGAAAGTGCAAGGATGTTGGATTTGTCTAGAATGGATGATCCGCCTCTTTTTAGTGCGAGAGGTTCAGTTGCATTTTGTGCCAGCTGCTCAGCTCCAAATTGCGTTCCTAGGGAAGGGCAGCCTCACGTTCAGTATAATTACAGAATATAAAGCTTCTGTCTGTGAAACAATCAGCACGTCGTGGTGTGTTACCACAAGTGTCTTTCATTCCACTTTTGCGATAATTGGCATGGCGAAGGACTCATTCGCACAAAGGACACTAAAGCAACGATAGTGTATGCTTTCCTCCACCTTACAGTAGTCTTTTCCTGTGTCCGCGAGCCTGCCCTAAAGTTTACCAGTACCTTTATTCTGCGAATTCTAGTTAACAGGAAGTAGGGCGCTTCGCTCTGTGTCGCCTTGAACGGTGTAAAAATAGTCACTAGGACAGGCCTCTTCGATGGTAGCTGAGATGGAGAGTACCTCCGAATGACATGTAGTGCTTATCGGAAGTTTCTTATTTGCACAAGCATTAGTCCAGGTTGCGAGTGACGACCTTTTTCTAAATACGGCGACAACTAAGTCACCGGGATGAACGGATGGTCTGTGAAATTCTCCGACGCTCTGTTGCTTCGCTCTAATGTAAATATGTGGAACGGCAAAGAAAGCAACGCGTGCCAGAATACAGCGGATGGAACGTCGCATGAAGTTTAGGCTGCTTCAGAGTACACACATGCAACATACAGGGAATTAAGACTGAGGCCCATATTGGTATTGAGCCACCCAAGTGAAGCGTGTTCGGCTAAAGCATCCTCAGCATATGCTAACAGTGGAACCAACGTCGTATTTAGCACGCGCGATAGACGGGCGCTTTAATCCCTGGGCGCAGCATTCACCACAGATCAGGAGAAAATACAATTAGACTACCCTACTCCAACACAACAAATCGTTCACAATAGTACTCCAATGGACTTCTTTTATTTTCATGTCACTTGAACATGTACATTAGCTCTATCCAGTCATCAATTAGCGTACTTTGATTAAAACTTTATGTAAAGTTGTGCAAAAATACTGCATCTTTATGCGAATAGCGAAGAAAGTATGGAATAGCGCACGTTTGCAAGAGCAGTAACACATTAAACGCGTGCTACAAAGTTAGAATTTATGTCGTATAACATCAAAAGTATATCGCCAATGCAATTCTGCACTCGATAAAAACACTGTATACACGTTATAGCTAACCTATCCTATAATCGGGTTGTCATTAAACTATTTTGTGTGCCAGTTTGCTAATAATAAAACCTGCATTCTGTACGCATTTATATCACCTATCCGATTTAGCCGCGAGATCTAAAGTACTCCTATGTATGCCGGCCGGCGGGTTTTCAATCGGCGGCGCGTTGTTTAAATACATCGCTAAATGCAGATACTTTTATGACAAGCGTTGTAAGAGTTAATAGCATGCATAGGTAGAAACGCAAATAATCCCGCGTCTTACCGTACATCGTTTGTGTCTACTTGAATGTTTACAATTTAAGTTATGGTTTTTTCATTAAACTTTCATTATTTTAGCCTAATGCAAGAGATTACATACTACCTAAGCGTAACCATGCCCATCATTGTGACAACTGTGGTGGCTCTAAACGTTTGAACGAAGGATGCTTCAATATTTGTTCTAGTGATGTATGTTTACTTACGTTAGTTAAATGTTTTTCATTTCGTTTACTTTGTTAATATGCGCTCTACCCGAGCACTACCGGCCTGTCAGTTTGACAAGCGTAGTAGTCAAGTTGTTCGAGAAGCTGATAAGGATTCAGTGGAGAACCACCTGAATCGATTCAACCTTCTCAGTGTTGCACAACATGGATTCCGCAAAGGATTTTCATGTCAGACTAATTTACTTGTAGCTCGTGAAAGCTGGGCCGAAGCGGTAGACAGTGGCCACGCTGTAGACGTGCTATTCGTAGATTTTTCGAAAGCTTTTGACACTGTTCCACATCTTCGGCTCTCACTAAAGTTGAGATCTTACGGGATATCTGGTCGCGCCCTTCAATGGGTGTCTGCCTTCCTTGAGGGGAGGGAACAGTGCGTACGGGTGGGGCGTAGCCTTTCGCTCAGGCAAGCTGTCCTTAGTGGCGTTCCGCAGGGCTCGGTATTGGGGCCATTGTTGTTCGCGATCTATGTAAATGACTTGCCGGGAGAGCTAGGGGTGTCATCATTAATGTTTGCTGACGACCTTAAGCTCTGGAATATTGTGGATATCCCGGGGGTCCTGAGGCAATTCAGCGTGCCTTGGATAGGCTCTGGGAATGGTCAATCTTATGATTGATGCCATAAATAGGGCAAGATGCTTTGTTCTCCGAATCGGAGCTGCAAATCCTCCCACCCGAAATGTCGTCGGCGGTGATGAACTCCCTGTTGTCACCCAGCAGGTTGATTTAGGAGTCGTACACGCATCAGCACTTCATTCTGGAGACAACTGGAAGAAGGCTGCTTGTCGAGGGTTTCGTATGATGTGGTTTATCCGCCGCTCTTTCGGAATCTTAACGGCCAAGTTGTTTGTGAAGCTATTTTCGGCATTCGTCCGACCCCACCTGGAATATTGTATTCAGGCTTGTCCACCATGTCTTAACCGAGACAAAATGGACTTGGAGAGGGTGTTACGAGTGGGCACTCGGTTAGTGCAGGGTCTACGGGGACAGACGTATCCTGAACGCTTGCTCAGTTTGGGTATGTACTCCATGCACTACCGAAGGATAAGAGGGGACCTGATTCTCACTTATCGTATTTTGACGGGTAAGATTGGCCCGGACTTGTCAGGGCTTTTTAGTCCCGCTACGTTACCTAGTCTCCGCGGTCACCCACTGAAACTGCATAAACCACGGTCTGATAGGATTAGGACGGAAACTCGTCTATCGCGCCGAGTTATAGATCGCTGGAATTCTCTTCCAGATCACGTGGTTAGGGAACCTACGGTTAAGGGTTTTGCGCGCCAGTTCGATGCTCTTGGGTGGCAACAGCAAACCTTTCCTTTTTCCTAGCTGACTCACCTTCATTTTTCAGTTCTTTTTTTATTGACTCAAATATCTTGGTATTCCACTTGCTTAGCTCTTACCACTTTCTCTTTTGCCTCCTGCGTTTACTTTTTTCTCTTTCTTACTTCACGTAACCGACCAGCAGGGACTGCTAGGGCAGGATACGTGGCATTAATTGGTTGGACAGGGTGTGATGCGGTCTTTGTTTTAGGTCCATCAGTATTTCAAAGTTCGCCAACTCCTGGTTCAACGACCCGCCGAAGAAGGAACACTCACGGGATCTAGCCTATCGTTCCAGTCCCGCTTGAACTTGAACTTGAACTTGAACATTACTACGAAACTGTCCTACTAAAACCGATCGATTTCTCGGTTTGCGTTCCGCCGAATGTGAGTTGCGTGCTTCTTATAAACGCTGGTATTTTTCTTTTGAACTTTTAATGTTATTGTCATTTCTGTAATTTGGTCAGGTCGCATTATCAGGCCATCGTAAAATCTTATCATTTTATTAAGCTATAGAGTGCAGATTGGAAAACCCGTGTCAACTCCACTACATCGCGCCTATTAGCTGTTTGGTGCGTCCTTGCTAAACACTGTTCTTTAAGGAATTATTACAGCTCCGGAAAAACCAGTGGGATAGATTGTTACTTATTACACTCCTTTGTCTGGGCACTGACGCCATTCCGATATTCCATTCACTCAGAAGTAGGTTTGATATCGTGACATTCAAGCGCACGCAGAGCCTCCTCGGTTTAAATATCTTCCAACTAATGTCTCTGGTCGAGCTGTCTACGATCAGCCCAAGAATGCGCACTCACAGAACTTTTCTATCGTCCCAGTCTCACCTGAATTTGAACTACCTCAATTCTCCCCTTCGAATCAGTCCAGTATTGACCAGATCGGCATGGCAACGACGGTTGTTTAGAGAGCAGATTCATAATCTGTAGTCGGGAATTGGATAAATCACACAGCGCCAACAAACTGATCCGCCTCTGATCCGTCTCAGAGTTGTACGGCAGTTAACCGTATACTAGTGGTATCAGTTCAGTTCAGATTCAGTTCAGATGGGGACTGGAACGATAGGAGAATCCCGTGAGTGTTCCATCTTGAGTGGATCGTTGAGCCAGGAATTGATGAAGTGCTCAGTTATTGATGGATCTAAAACGGAAACACCCGTATCGCACCCTGGCCAACCAGGTAATGCCCACGTTTCCTGCCCTAGCAGTCCCTGCTGTGGCAGTCACATGAAGTAAGCAAAGGATAGGAAGAGAAATCGAAGGTACAGAATAGGGAAGTGCACTTAAATAAGAAAATAATACCAATACGTGAAGAAAAGTAGAGAAAAGAAAATCGAAGTACGAAGATGCGAGTTACTCAGGAAAATGGAAAGGTTTCGTGTTTCCACCCAAGAGCGTCAAGTTGCCGCTCAAACCCCTTAACCGTAGATTCCCTGATAACACTTTCCGGAAGCATGTTCCAGCGGTCGATAACTCGACGTGACAGCCGGATTTCCGCCCTAATCCGATCGGACCGCGGTTTGTCCAGCTTCAACGAATGACCGCGTAGAACAGACAATCTAGCGGGACTGAATAGCCAAGACAAATCTGGACCAACCTTCCCATTGCACGAAAGCCAGCTTATGCGATGGCATGTTACTGACAGGGTGTAGGCGCCTAGATTCTGAATGTTTACTTAGGGCAATAAGGTTTTCGCTTAGTCCCTATTCTCACTTATTATTCTTCGTTCCGCAAGTCGTGATGGTTGAATGGCAGCGAAGCATCAAATGGCTGATGTATTGTCAAGGTTATTGGCGTTCTGCTTTTTCCTTCGGTTGGGTTAGAAATTTTGTGGAGCAGTAAATTGTCAGTTTCGGAATCGCGTCTAGTGAGATTATAACAGGAGTCCCCACAGGTGCTCTAACTTGAGCGACGGTTTGTGACAGCCTCTCCAGCCGTAACTAATTGCGATAAGAACGATTTGCGTCCATGGCTGACCCAAGGCTTGTGGACGCCAAGTCACTCCTCTGCGGGTGCTGTTTCGAAATTTTGTGCTCGCGAGAAAGAGACAAGCATCTTCACACATCTGTAGCAATCGCTCACAGTTATCATTACGAGAGCTTACGCTATGTTGGCCCCCCATATGAAGCTCACCAGCGGACAATTTTCCGATTTGCGCGTTTAGATCATCAGCAAGTACCACAGTATCCTTGCTTTTCCTGTGACGAAAATCGTTATGTTGGTGATAGAAATCATCTTTCACTGAATCAGAGTTGCAGTTTGTGGGAGCGCAAGCCGCAATGAGAAACAGGCACCGTTTTTCCCCGCGCTACTTTGAAGCCTGAAACGAGCCAGCCAACCTAACAGCGCACATCCGGTTGTTCAAAGGGCTCCATTCGATCAGGGTAGCTTCAGCTCGGGGACTAAAAACATTACCGACACCAGCTTGACTTGCATTTGAAGCTGCGTCATCGCCAAACATGCGCAGTGAGAATGTGCCGCCTGTGTCGCTTGTAAGGGATGGCAGAGTAAGCACGGGGCTCGAATCTTGCAGCACGTATCCGTCTCGAGTGTTCTGGTAAGTGCTGCCTGTTGGCCAATCTGTAGCATAGTGCGCACGTTGTGGCATGCTAATCTCAACGAGGATCGAGGACTCCAAAGGGAAACGGATGATCTGACGTTGTCCGCTTGGCTGAACATAGACTTGCCGACTGAATTAGAGCGACGCCCTGCGATTGTGTGAGTTGAAACTAGGAAACAAGCGACTATTGAAGCAAGGTGGGTGAGGGCTACGAATTAGGGGATTGAAAACGGGGGAATGAAAGTGAGGTTGGAACGGGTCGCTAAGGATAAAAAAGCGCAAGAGGGGGAATCAGAAAGCGGGAAGGCTTGAGTGGTAGGATCCAAACCCTATCCACCCTGCTCGATGCAGCAGATAGGACGCCGTTTATTATCCTCTTCGATGAGCAGAGCATCAGGAGATTGTTAGAAGGAAAGGTCGTGGTGTATTGCGTGGGCACGATACGGTCAGGTTGCCCAGGCCTAGACAGGAGAACGATTAGGGTTCTCAACCAAGCCTTTGGTTCAAAAACCTTACGCAAGGCAGCAGCGTTTTAGCACTGGATTAGTGAGCTCGTTTTCTGAAGTACGGATCCACCCTGGCTCCAGCCCCAACCTGGAGGGCCAGGAGACTGAATTTGTCTGGTCTCTAACCCATGACCAATCTGGTATGAGTGGCTCTGAGGATGCAAAAAGCATCACCCGGCATAGCTCAATGGATCACTGAGGCACACAAACCGTCACACTATGTTAAGGTCCAGTCTCATCCCGATGGGTTCGATTCCCAGTAGGGGACCGAGGGAATGCACATCACTGGCTAGCCCCAATAGGGTGAAAGGCGTCTGGTGCTTTTCCGGACTAGGCTTAGCTCTGTAGCTTGTTAGCTGCTGAGACGTAAACATTAAAATTACTCTGCAATTGCCACTTGGGTTTTGGCATTCATGTCAGTTAAGTATGCGACGGGCACTAGAGCTAGTTGGTAGCTTCAGGCCATTAGCTATCATGTTTCGCGAGACATGTTCTGCAATTCTCGTTGACAGCATTCTCTCATTTCTGCCTATATACTTGCTACCGCAAGTACATTTAAAGAGTTAGGTGTGTGAGGCAGTAACTTGAGAGTCCGGTCTGCCCAGGTTGGATTTACGGAGCAATCTTCTGACTTGGTGCAATACCACTAGCTCAGCCGCATAGCAAGACTTCTTAATTATTTGACGGAGACGATGCCGGCATCTTCTGTTAACTTGATCTCCTTCAAACAGCAGTGTAGTGCATACTATTTTTCTTGGGGACATCTGTTGGGCATTTATCTCTGGATTGTATTTTCGCGTCCCGTGTTATGAATCTCGCGGGATATCCATTTTCTAGTAGTTTCGAGGTGAGTCGGCAGATTGAGATTGATTTATTCAGCCAATTTTGGTGGACAAATGAGCCTGGACTTTACCGTGGTGCGATGGTTTGTGTGCCTCAGTGATCCATTGAGCTATACTGGGTGGTGCATTTTTGCACCTTCAGGGTCACTCATACCAGGTTGGTCAATGGTTAGAGGCCAGACAAATTCAGCCTCCAGGTCCTCCAGGTTGGGGGTTGGAATGAGGGTGACTCCTTATTCCTTAAAATGGACTCCTTGTAGCCCAGTGCCAAACCCGCTACCTTGCGGACAGCTTTTTGAACCAAAGGCCTTGGTTGAGAACCCTAATCGTTCTCCTATCTAGGCCTGGGCAACTTGGGAGTATCCTGCCCACGCAATACTATGAATCTCACTCCAAACAAATTTCTGATGTTCTGGCCACCGCAGAGGATAATCAACGGTGCTCTATCTGCTGCATCGGGCAGGGTGCATAGCGGTTTGGATTCCACTGCTCAAGCTTTCCCATCTTCTTATTCCCCCTCTTGCGCTTTTTCGCCCTTATCGTCCCGTTCGCGCTTCACTTTTATCCCCCCTGTTTTCAACCCCCCAATTCTCGGCCCTCCCCCACCTTGCTTCAATAGTCGCTTGTCTTTTAGTTTCAATTCACATGTGAACGCGGAGCGTCATTCCTGCCCTGTCAACAGGCCCATGTCCAAGCAAGCGGCCCATTCCAGTTCATCGGCTTCCATTTGGAGCCCTCGATTCTCCTTCAGATTGGCATGCCTCAGTGTTCACACATTACTTCAGATCGGTCAACAGGCAGCACTTGCCCGAATATTCGTGACCCTTTCGATCGATCTTTGCTGTTTATCGGAGACCCGCTTGCAAGACTCGAACTCTGTGCTCACTCTGCGATCCCATTCAGGTGACGCAAGCAGTGTTTTCTCATTGCGCCTATCCGGTGATGATTCAGCTTCGAGCACCGGTCAGGCCGGTGTTGTTATTGCCCTGAGTCCCCGGGCTGAAACTACTTTGGTTCATTTACTTCCAATCAGTAGCCGAATGTGTGCAGTCCGATTGGCTGGCTCGTTCAAAACTTCGAAGTCGCGTGGGACTAACAGGTGTCTATTCATTATCGCTGCCTATGCACCGACAAACTGTAGCGATGACTCGGTAAAAGACGACTTCTATCGTCAACTGAACGAGCTCCTTAGCCACAGAAGAAGCTCAGGCACTGTGGTGCTGACTGGGGATCTGAACGCTGAAGTTGAAAAATTGCTCACTGATGAACTGCATCCGAGCGGCCAACATGGTGTAGGCTCTCGTAATGATAACGGTGAGCGGTTACTTCATTTGTGCGAAGATGCTCGCTTATTTCTTGCGAGCACTAATTTCCGACACGGCACCCGCCGGAGGTCGACTTGGCGCCCACCAGCCTCGAACCAGCTATTGACGCAAACCGATCACATTGCGATAAGTTACCGATG